TTGGTTCAAGATCCTGCTCCGCCTTTCTGGAAGGCTGGGAGAATATTGCCTTTAAAAAGGGGAGGATGGGATTTAGACCTCTCTTTAAGGGCAGCTGAAAACATGACTCTGTGTGCCTGGCTTTTTGTAATGGGCATTAAGGCTCTTAATCTTGGATCTTATATTTCAATGGAAAAGCCACATGTAGATAATAAACTTTGTGAGAACCTGTTGGAATAGGTTTAATGTTTAACATCCTAGTGTTTTTTAATATTTAACTTTGTCTTGCTGTGCTCCAATAGGTGAACTGCTTACAGACGGCAGTTGCTTTTACTACTCTTTACCCCTTAACTTTTTCTCCATACTCTTAATTTCTTGTAGGGCTTTTTGGCCATAATGGTAGTATTTTAGTTTGAGTGAAAATTATCCAAGTAACTTTTTAAACATTAGAAAGTTTTTTGTGGTGGTGGTGTTTTTTTTCTGTTGTTCGTTTGTTTGTTTGTTTTCCCCGTTCCCTTTTTCTCATTCTTCTTGGGCCTTCTGCTATAAAATGGCTTGCATGTCAAAAAAAAAAAAATCTTAGCTCATGAAGACAAGTGTGAAATATAATCAAAGGCAGAAAATGTTAATATAGCAACCGTCTTCGAGACATTTCATCCTCTGGCTTTGGGCTTTGTATCCTTTTTTCTTTTTAAGGAAAGTTGAGAGTTCCTTCTAATTCAAATTCCTAGCATTCAGGAGCACAGAGCAATGGCCCTGGGTGCTGATGCTTTTCAGTTATCCGGGTGTGTGTTTTGTGTTTTCCTCTGGGTTCCAACTACTGGGCTATGGTGCCAGTGTGGAGAGAAGGCCTGTGGTTTGCTCTGGATGAGTTGCCTTCAGACTGAGCCCTGCCCTCTCCCAAGTCGCCTTTGCCTACCCTCAGACCCTGGTAGATATTAACTGCTTTTAGGGATTTTTTGAGAGTCAGAAATTCCCAGTCAAATACGCCTGTGCCAGCTGCTCTCTTAGTACAAATATCTAGCGTGCTCAGAGAGTATTTTCTGGCCATTTCTGAAGCATGGGACTGAGTGCTGAGCTAAACTTGCCTTATGTGTTATCTTCATGCTGGCACTGAACACCTATCTCTGTCTTCCCATGGGCGAAATAGGAGTTGTGCCCTTCCGTGCTGTAGGGCTGCCCTCATTTGTGCCACAATTCAGACCTTTCTGGCTCCCCCGTTCTGGTGGCCAAGGCCTGATCCTGTGGGGCTTCATCTGAGGTGTTGCTGCCAAAGGTGGTGCCTTGGACTCGGTCCCATTTAAGATCAGTGCCATCTTTCACAGTTCAAGAAAACGTCATTTACCAGGCTCCTCTCTAACAGTTTCACGTGTTTAATGGGACTATGATTTGGTAGGTACTATGCATATGTTTTCCTGTCCCTGCAAAAAATACTTGCATTGAAAAGGAGCTGTATAATGCATTTTGAAACCTGTTTTTCAAGTCAGTTTTGAGTAGTGAAGATAACCCAAGCTACAGACTTTGAGGGAAGAAGGTTGTGTCATCTCTTCAATGTAGATGCACTGCATTACAGGAAAATTAAGTTTCTAAATTGTTCAGCATTATGTTGACAGATTTTCATACTGGAAATCATGTTTTGTGGTAGCTTTGTAAACAGGAAAATATTTTATGCTGTTTTCATTAAAAACCTTGCTGTCTGCTGGGCTGGATGCTGTGGTCTTCTGCTCTGCTTAAGGTGGTAGAGCTGGGGCTTTGCTTGGTAAGCAGGTAACCTAACCTGTGGAAAATGTGCCCTAGGGCTCGGGATTGTGTCTGCCCCATCACTGAGACATGATGTGCTTTTAGCCTCCATCAGATAAGGAGATCAAAGTACAGCATGGGATTCCTGCACCTGGCAGCCTGTCAGGTTGTGACCAGCCCTGGAGCTTTGGTTCCTCTTGCTGCTTGAAATGTTAAATGGTTGTAAATTCCTCAACCCTCTGCCTCCTTCATGGTGTTGTAATGTCATTGCTTTTGACAGAGGCAGTAGCTTAATACCGTGAGAATGTATGTCGTGTGAAGAGATCATAATGAATATTTTTTCCCCAGTTTGATGGCTTTTCTTGACTATTTCATTGAAGAACCTGTTTTAAAAACAAACAGTTCTTCCCCCTTCTGGTGGGGGTGTCCTCCACTGATGCGGAGCCCTGTTGAAGATGGTTGTTGAAGTATGGCTTGTTTGTACCAATTGTGCAGTTTAGCCAAATCTATATCCCTCCGTCCCCTCACATATGAACGCTTTGGAGGTGCTTGAAGCACCAAAAGTTCCACATGAACTTAAGGAAAAATTTTTAATGGTGAGGGTGACAGAGCCCTGGAACAGGCTGCCCAGAGAGGTTGTGGGGTCTCCTTCTCTGGAGATCTTCCAAACCCGCTTGGACGCAGTCCTGTGCCACGTGCTCTAGGTGACCCTGCGTGTGCAGGGGGGTTGGACTAGATGACCTCTAGAGGTCCCTTCCAACCTTAAGCATTGTGTTATTCTATGATTCTATGCTCACTTCTGAAGAAAGTGAATGCTTAAGTTATCATATACAGCAAACAAGCAGGTCAGGTCCTTGTGCTAGAAGCCTAAAAAATAACCATAAAAGTTTTCTTTATCTCAAAGCTGATAAGAGTTTTACAAAAACTATAGATCAGGAGGTGAGTAAAGCTATTTGCCATGATGTAGTAATGCTGCATTCCTTTCCCCCAACTTCCTTGGAGTAGGAATATGGTTGCTCATTAGTTTAGCTGCTAATACTTGCATTGAAGGTGATGATCCATCTTGACACTAATTGAGGCAACTTTATAACTTAATCTGAATTTCATGTCAGATAATAATGCATTAAAATAAAAATTAAATTTGCAAGTATACTGTCTACAGGTATGTGAAGCTTTTTAGTGTGCATCAGCCGATGCTGCTTCAACCCCAAATGTGTTGGTGCTGTGGGGATTTCAGTCAGCTCTTGTGGTTCAATTCTTTATTACCTGCCTATGGAAACTGTAAGATTTTATGATTCGTCTTAAATGCAGTGGGGCTCTTTTGCCAGAGACAACTGATGTGTCCCTGTTTGAATTATTATTATTATTTTTATATAAACATGTGCATGCACTCAAAGAACTGCTGATGATGCTTAAAACTGACAGAATTCTCTGTGATGGCTGGTAATCCACCATGCACCATTGAAACTTTCTGAAGACAAGTATGGAGGAGACTTCAGAAGAAGTAAAATAGTTTTTCACATGATAAATATGATTAAAATAGTCTATGTGCTTTGTGGTAGTTCTCTAGATTCACTTAGACTCCATGGGTGTGTGCTCATCCATGTGTTAGAGTCAAGCTGCTTACAAAGCTGGGCTGAGAGAAAATTAGGACATCTTTCAAAAAGCAAAATTTTGCATCGCAGCAATACAAATAGACGGTGCTGTAATGGTAACCTGGTAATCCATACCCTATTACAAAAAAAATTGCAAACAGTTTTTTAGGAAGAATATAAGACTGTCCTGTAGGAAGATGTGGGAGATGATGAGTAGGGAGGTTACCCGTTTCCGCAGTGCTCGTGTGCAGGATGCCGCAGCCGGCTTCCTGCCTCCCTCTGGGTTTGGTTTGGCACAGGGAAAGGGCAGAGCACGTGGTCTGGCCTGCGCTCGCTTCTCCAGCTCTGCAGAGGGTCCGAGTGCCTCAAGAGCTCCTGGCCGTGCCCTCTGCCTGCTTCTGATGCACTTTGCTCTCATCCAGCCTATACGCATGTTTTTATAGGCTATATTTGCAGAAATGTGAAGAAAAGTCATCTTCTCCCTTGTGTAGCCAGAAGTCTATTACAGCCATGAGCTGCCTGCGTGTAGGTCTGTGCTATTGTGCTACTCATGCTTGAGTATGTGCTCAAGTGCTGATTTAAGTAGGTCCTGACTCAAGTGCTTGTAAAAGTGCTTTGGTGACGGTTAGCGATGCTCGCATGAACATCTCAGCTCCCTCTGCTGCACTTGCTCTCCTCCCTGAAGTATGGTTTTGAAAGCTCAGAGTGGCGAAATTGGCTCTTGTTTGGCAGCGTTTTCTTGTCACGCTTCAGTTTTCTATCCCCGTGTGTCTGTCCAAGGTTAAAAAATGAAGAAAAAAAAAAAAAGCTTGTCTTTTTAAATAGCTGTTTATATTATTAACTCGCATTAGCTTATGAAGAAATAAAATAGAAAAAAAAATCCTTAAACCAAACCAGGAAGTTACAGTTTGAAAGCTGTGGGCAATGATCCAACAAGGGCTGGGAGTAGAAATGCTGGTAGCTGTGTCAACACTACTATGAACTGCAGTGCTCACTGGAGGGAAGCACAAACCCAGTCACACTTGGCATTTTACGTGCTCCGGTAGAGAGAGCAAGGACTGGTTTGTCTGTAGTAGAAGGCCTTATATTCTGTGTGAAAAGGGAAGTGACGTTCCCAGTGTGTTCTTTGTGCCTGATGTGTGAATCAATAGGAATTTTAGCATGAGGTCTCTGATCCTTACACCCTTCAGGAATGCTTAATTTCTCCAGTATATTAAAATGACCATAATGCAACAGTGCTTTTAAATATAATCTAAAATCTAGCAAGATCTGCCTGTCAGGACTGTCTTTAAGATCTTACAGATTTTTAGATTGGGTGCATCACCTTGAAATTATAGCTGCAGTCTCTACTACGGAGCGTACGAACTCCATGGTTGCTTTTCTTGCTCCATAACACTAATGCTGTATCTATTGGAAGAAGTCTTGGTCTGCCCCTTCAAGCCAGATGGAAACGGAGGGGGCCAAAAAGGGCAGATTTTATTTAACATGGAGCACTACAAGTAGACTTAGAAGCCAAGTGGCTCTCCAGTTCCCTGTGACTGCTACAAAGACGATTTTGAGGTGGGAAGATGTAATTAGTGCTCATGAGACATGCTCAGCGTCTCATTTGTTTTTGTGTGTGTTAAACTCCCGGGTAGCATACCAGTCTGTTGTCTGTTGATGTAATGCTTTTGTTTTTCATTTCAGCTATGAAGCCGTCCACTCCAGCTCTCGTTCTCCTGTGGAGCGCTGTTGGGATAGCGAGGGCTGCCAAAATCGTCATCGTGCCGCCAATTATGTTTGAAAGCCATCTTTATATTTTCAAGACTGTGGCCTCAGCCTTGCATGACCAAGGTCACCAGACAGTATTTCTTCTCTCTGAGGGCAGAGAGATTCCTCCATCTAATCACTATAGACTTCAGCGATACCCAGGGATCTTTAATAGCAGCACCTCGGATGACTTTCTCCAGTCCAAAATGAGGAGTATTTTCTCTGGGAGACTGACAGCCCTGGAACTGTTTGATATCCTGGATCACTATTCCAAGAACTGTGACATGATTGTGGGCAACCAAAACCTCATGCGTATCCTGAAACAGGAGAAATTTGACCTGCTCCTGGTAGATCCTAACGAGATGTGTGGATTTGTGATAGCTCACCTGTTAGGGGTTAAATATGCTGTCTTTTCGACTGGCCTTTGGTATCCAGCAGAAGTAGGTGCTCCAGCTCCCCTCTCTTACGTTCCAGAATTTAACTCGCTGCTCACAGATCGCATGAACTTGTTTGAGAGGATTAAAAATACCATTGTTTATATTATATCAAGATTTGGAGTCAATTTTTTGGTTCTGCCAAAATATGAAAGGATAATGCAGAAGCACAAAGTTCTGCCGGAACGGTCCATGTATGACTTGGTTCATGGATCCAGCCTGTGGATGCTTTGTACCGATGTAGCACTAGAGTTTCCAAGACCCACGCTACCAAATGTTGTGTATGTGGGAGGAATCCTAACCAAACCAGCCAACCCTCTGCCAGAAGTAAGGTTTGCTGAGCTTTACAGTAACTTCTATCATACGTGGGTCACTCCATGTGATGAAGGGTGGGTTTTAAGCAGTAGATTAAGATCTAATGTCTTGACATTTTAAAACTTACTTTGTTTTAACTTAGTGAAATAGACATGTAAAGTAAGGCTTGTTTTGGAGGGAAAGGGGAGGAAAATTGTTAGACACAAACTCATCAAACAGTCTCTTGTTGTTGCTGCAGATATTTTCTTGTTCCAAATTTGTGCTTAATGATACGGCAGATAAATGTTTGCCATTGAAAATGACAATTGTAATTTCTAAGTGTGGATTAATATGGAGGGGAAAAATAGCCAACAGACTAATGCTGCTTATACAAAGAAGCGCTTTAGTAGGTTATACCTTTAACTTCATGATATTAGCATTTTCAAGGAGAGTTTGCTTCCCTTCACTGGATAGGTTTAAAATGTCCTTAAAACTAAGCAGGGAGAAACTGTAGAGGTGAACAAATGAAGATGATATGAGTCGACATAAATGGCACCAGTACTTGGATGTAAGTGGTTCCCCTGCCCCGGCCCTGTTCAATTTACAGTAAAACTGAACTTCAGACTGAAATAGTGATAGTGACTGGATTGAGTCCAGAAATCCTGGCAACAAAGACCTCAGGGTTAATAATTAAGTTTTATTACCTCAGTGCAGCATGTGCTTTTGAAACTGGGTATCTGAGAACACCTTTATTCAGCAATACAATGAGTGACAGACAGGAAAAAAATCACAGAAAATCATGTCATTTATGCTTTTATTTATGTATGCATAAATAAATAACTCTTGTATTAGGAATGGTTTATAATAGACTGTTTTGGCTGAGTGCTAAATAGCTATACAGATCTGTAGCTTGCTTCTAAGAATGTCTCCTTCAGCCTTATGCTTTTTTTCATAAAAACTACCAAACCCACCCTCTTTCCTCTTTTCTTTTCTTTTTTTTTTTCTTTGAGTGGATCCTGGATGACTGTATTTTTTTCTTTAGATGAGCCGTGTTTTGACCTAGCAGTATTTTTTTTCTGCCAACTCAGAAAACATCTGACAATTCAGTAGTATGGGCTGTTTGTTGCACCAGATTGCCTTACCTCTCTCTTTTTTTTTTTTTTCTTTCTCTTCCCTCTTTCCCAGCTTTAAATATACTTAACCTGAATGAAAGCAGGCATTTGCATAGCATGCCAAATATGCAAGGTGTTATGCATGATAATACACAATTTTTGATATATCACTCCAGAAACTAGGAAGTTGCAGGACTTCCTCTAACCTCGGCACGACCTAGGACATCTATCTGGGTAGGCATTTGGGAGTATTCTGGCTCCAGGAGATTCTTCCCTTGGAACAATTTTTTTTCCCCAAGGTGTCTCTGCTAGTAATAATCTTTAGTAATAATCTTTAGTAATAATCTTTAGTAATAATCTTTAGTAATAATCTTTAGTAATAATCTTTAGTAATAATCTTTAGTAATAATCTTTAGCCACCTTTTGGGGCACTACGACAGTAAAAGGAGCTGTGGGTAACAGTAGAAGGAGCATACAGATTTTCTTGTTGACAATTCGTAGCAATAAGAATGTTCTACTTTGCCTTTCATTTAATGGTTTCCAGCTATAAGTAGCCTGCTGTTTGTATTGGATTGCTATTAACAGTTTTTCCTCTGACAGATTTTCTCTGATGTAGATTAATGTGTTTGTGTTTAGGAAGGTCGTTAACAAGTCAGGCTACACAGCCTGAGAAAGCCATCTGAAGATAGTCCTGTGCTATTTAAAGCTAAGCTGTATTTTCTGTTTGAAGACCTTTGTTTATTGATTAGTTTTGAGTGTCTTGCTCATTTTCCAAACTTTTTTTTTAATTTTCTGGGAACAAAAATACATCCTTGTTGCACCATAAATTTGGGTGCTACATCAATGTTTTCGTATTTGATCTCTAGGTTCTTTCTTAGGGGTAAAGAATTAACAGTTCCCCTAAAGAAGCAGTTTTTTTTTTTTTTTTTTTTTTTTACTATCAAATGGTATGGCAGAAAATGAAAGGAGCACTATTTCTTCAGTGTTTTGGTGCAGGGATTTTTTGAGATTGTGTTTTGTGTACTTTTATAACTTGAGAACCATGAATGCTGACCTGCTGTGAGAGCTTGGGATGTGGGAAGGTGTAATTGTAAGTAAAATATTTAACGTAACCAGACTTGGCTACACGGTGACCTTGAAATAGATTTATAGATAGAGTACATGCTGGCAAATACATAGTACATCAAAAAAAAAAAGGTAATGTTTGTGAAATGGGATTTTATTTACCTTTACTTTCATTGGGCAATTCATTCTTATGATTCTCTAAGCAGAAGATTTGAATGAATGCAAAGCAGGCAAAGTGAGTGTTAATCTTTTAAGATATAATTTATCCTTTTCTAAATTGCTATGCATAATTCCACTTTCTGAGGTGTGTACTACAGGTAAATTACTGGTAATCGGTTTGCTGTTACTGAATAATTAGATAAAATTCATAGCTGTTGCTCTACTCTGTGGCAGGTTGAAATCAGATCACTGGTGCTGCTAGAGCTCTCAGCTGTCACCCTGTCCCTGTGGCAGGAGCCTTCACTCAATTATTTTCTGCAGCTTTTGGAGGCTGGTGTGCTAAGGTAAAGCACAATTGGCATTGGTTCACAAAGTGTGTCGAGGAGAAAACTGGGTTGTTTGGGGAATGATCTCGTGACGGGACAGATGTTCCTGCCCCACGATGATGGGATTCACTAGGGAGGAAGGGCATGTGGCTCCTGCTGCTAACTTGGAGTCAAATTCAATATATTACCAGGCTATTGAGATTCTTGTGTTCTCAAAAGCTGCTTGTGTGCAGGCCCAGTCTTTTTTTTTTTTTTTCCCTCTTCTCTGTGTGGGAAGGTTTGGGGGAAAAAATCCTGTTGGTGTCTGTGCAGCCTAGCAGGAAAGTCATTGCCTATCCTGGTGCCTGCTGCTGACCACAGTGAAGGTCTGGGAAGAGGCCACTTCCCTGAAACTCTTTTGATTTTTTGGTTGGTTGATTTTGCCTTGCTTCTTGTGGAGAGAGACACTTTCTTATTTTGAGGAGTGGGGAAGGGAAGGGAGTTATGGGTCCATCTGGACTGAACAAAACTATAAAACCAATTGGAAAAGCCTGGTTTCAGCTAATGGGCACTCTCCTGAAAAGGAAAGTAGTAATTAACAGTCAGAGTTAAAGAGCAGATGAAGATCAGGGATGCTAAGCTACAGCAGTCACGGTTTTTGATTTTCCGGGTGTTGCTAGTTCTGTGTGGCAGTTGCTCAGGACTTGTTCCCGTGTTTCCGTTGGCACCTCCCCTTTAAAGAAGGGGTGCGAGCAGAACACGGAGTGCCAAGCGCCGCGTTGTGGGGGACGGAGCCTCCGTGCCGCGTGTCCCTGGACGAGGCGGCTGTCGCGGGAGCGTGCGCGGCGGGGGGCCCGCGCGGTCAGGCCGTCCCATCAGCCACGTGGTCCTGAAGCACCTGGTGACGGCGAATGTCCCCTCGTGTCGTCCTTGTCCGGGCTGCGGATCCCGGCGCTGTGGGGGCACCGGTGCAGCCGAGTGTAACCCGCGTGTTCCTGTCGTGTGGCGGAGCGGTGAATCCGCGCTGGGATGCGCCCCGGAGCTGGGAGTTGTTCTCTGGGATCAGCAGTCTGCTGCTCCCTTCGGTTAAAGCCTGTGGGCTCGGAGGGCTGCTCTTTGTTTTTATTATTAATTACTGTCTGCATCCTGCTCCTCTAGAGGGATCCTATGAAGGCGGCTTTCCAAACAGTGCCAGTTTTGAGAAACCATGGGGAAACCTGTTTTGTGGCATTTGTATCTCACGAGTAGATGGATATGTCGGTTAGGCATTAATCCGTGTGATAAGATATCCTTGAAAAATCCTGGAGACTCCCGCTGATGTGTTGGTGCTCGAAGCAGCAGCACAAGGAAATACCCAGTCTTAGTGAGAGAGGAGCAGAGGGCCCTGAGAAAGAGAAGGGACTGGAGGATATTTCAAAGAGATCAAATAATTGTTTATGTGCCTGCATTGAACCATGTTGATGCTGTGGTTTGGATTCAGTAGTGCTTGAGATAATCTTGGCTAGTATTTAACAACAAGGAAAAAAGGAAAAAAAAGAAAGTAAAATTGGGTATAACCTGTAACACGCAAGTTGAGCATTTCTTTCTTCATTCCTGCACAGTTTAGAGTAACCATAAAGTTTTCCTGTTAAAGGTTCATGCTGACAAGGTGCTTCTCTTGAATTGAATGCAGTTTTTTCTTGCTAGGGAAAGTTTTTTTTTTTCTTTGGGGACTTTTTTACTTGGGTAGGATTAGGGGAAAAAAAAAACTAAGCTTACATTATTAAGAAGAATATTCATCTTTGAGAAGGGAAAGCAATCCTTTTAACTATAGCTGACATGGAATAGTAATTATAATTTATTCTCTCTTTTCTGTAAATCTGTCATATCTTGTCATTATGTAGATTCAGATCTAAATAACAAACCGGTGGCTTTGAAATTTTGTCAGTGAAAAGTTCTGTTTTCTGAGGTTTGCTGACAGTTGTCTCTTTTGGTAGACTGGTGTTGGCTGACAAGGCTATTTATCTACCTTTAAAATGAGGTGGAAGAATAAGGAGACATTTGTTTCTTAAATTGGATAGTGTCCTTCATTCAAATTTAAGGGCATTTTTTATGGGCATGCCCTTTGAGGACAGTAGCAATAGATTTTGGTGTGTTGCACAGTGCTATTACTTTGGCTGTTTAAGGCTGGGGGAATAGTTCTTAAAGCTACTCTTGACAGTAAATTTCTAGTAATATGGAGCAGTTCTAGAGCTGCCTGTCTTTTAAATGCAGGCGATCCCCAGCTAGGGAGGCCAAAACTCTTTGGAGGGTGAAGAGGGAGATTATGGGGCACTGTAAAAATTTTGTCCTCTAGCATATGATCACTTGTTTTGGCCCTCATGTATTTCCACATAAAACTTCCTTGCCACCA